ATTGAAACTGTCTCTCTGCAGTGGGAGGACTTACCAAATGGTATTGACGTGCTACAGATAACATAACAGAACTTTGCTTAGCATGTTAAAAAAATACCCTCACTTTCAAGAAGGAGAAGGTATTTCAGTGAAATCAGTTTCACTGGCATAATGGTATGCCAGTCGTACTAACCACAAGCATCGATGTGCCCACAAAGGCTCAAGGTGCTCTCTGTATGAGAGTAAAGATTTCTTTCTTGAAAAATCAGTCAGTTTTACAAAAATCCATATGGGCACAACTATCAGATTTCTTTGCTACAGAGAAAGGTTATTTTTTTCTTTGAGCTTTTATTTTCTACTTCTTTTTTAGTGGTTCGGTGAATATTTTTTTCTGTTTAAGTGTGAACAGTTCCACAGGTACAAAGAAAAGCGGAATCATCTATGGAAGAAAAATTGAGGGCTGTTAAAGGAAGAAATTCTTTACAATGAGGGTGGTGAAACCCTGGCAGGGGGTGCCCAGAGAGGTAGTGGAGGCCCCATCCCTAGAAGCATTCAACGCCAGGTTGGACGGGGCTGTGAGCAACCTGATCTAGTTGGCGGTGTCCCTGCTCCCGCAGGGGGGTTGGACTAGATGACCTCTGGGGGTCCCTTCCAACCCAAAACATTCTATGATTCTATGAAATACCAGGACACTATCTGATTTAAGTACCTTGTGTCACAAACTGCTAGAGATGATGAAAATATTCTGAGGAATCTTAACTTTTTTTTTTTTCTTGGTTGGTTTTTTTTTTATTCTTCTTTGGTGTCTCATAATGACCACTGGCAGAGACACACGGAGACCTTCCATCTGACCAGGAACAGCTGTTCTAATGTAGTACCAGTAGGTTAATTTCCAATGCAAGAATTAAGCACCTTTTGTTTAGATTCAGCTTTGGTACCTGAGCACCTGAAACATAAACTGTATGCCTCAGCTTATCATTAAGCTTTAGAGTTCCAGAAAACATATATATGGAACACAGAACCAGTTAACGATAGTAAATAGGGAAAAAACATTAAGTACTGAAATATGTCTGATTTCCCTGTTGTACGCCAGATCTTGTATTCCTCATTTAGATAGGGTTGCACACAGACTTGGTTGTATTTTTCCATTGACTACACATGATTTTAAGACAATTTATGCTCCCATTGTACGTGTGTAGCATCAGTTGACATCATCTGGGTTGATGCCTCAATTTGTTCAAAAAAAGGAGCTTATTTATTGCACTGATCTTACTAAAATATATTTGCAGTTAAACCTTACTGAAAAATTGTTATTTGGAGGAAAAAAAGGAATTTTGCATTTTATATGGCTTTTTTAAATAATACTTTTAAGAATAAAATTCATTAAATACATTAAGCACATTTTTCACGTCAAAATTATATATTTTATTTACAGTTTTTAAAGCTTCAGCAAATTTCCTTTCTAAAAAAGGAAATCAAAGTTTCATTCTCCCTACACTGATGTGAAATTGTAGTTTTAAATACTAGCCTACATAGTGAAAATAATTTTAATCCTATTCGGCAGAAGTCTTTTATTTAAGATGGTTGCTTTCTAAACTCAGGTAATACACACTAAATTTTTTTTTTCAGTGGCAACCAATATTCCTAAATATTTAATTTAACGATGTCATTCGTAAAGGAATAACTATCTATCATTAACCATGTTCATGTAACAAGTGTTGACAAAAATCTTAAAAGAAATAGAAAAGGTTTTGAGACCATGTTTTCTTACAGTATGCTGTAAGTAAGCAGGATGAAAATATTTTTATTTAATGAAAAACAGTTTTAGTCCTAATTCAGTGTTTACTTTATTGGAATAAAAGGGTTAAATGAAATGAACAGAGTTATCATGATTTGTACCTACAGGGAGGGCTACTGAAATCCATCCACCTAATCCCCTTATCAGTGCTGGGACAAATTACCAAAATATCTGGTCTTGAGAAGGCTGTAGCCTATTCATAGCTTGTAGTTTATTGGCTTGCACACAGATTCCTATGTCAAAGATGAGTGTAAGAACTGGTTCCTGACTGAAGCAGATTGGCACAGACTAACAACAGTAGTCCCTTTTACAATGCACAGTGCTGTAATCTGTTGGGTATGATTGAATGAGGCACATCAGCACACCACAATAAAAGCCTTTGATAGTGTCCCGGGAGTCAAGGTGTATGAACAAGGCATTCAGTTTCAGAGTCCTGAGAACAGGTTTCACAACTTGAAAAGATGCATGCCAATCTTTTGTCAAGTTTAGGACTGGTATTCATGGCTGGGCTATCCCATCAGGAACCTGAGCGGGCCACAGGCAGAGGGAGATAGTTTATCATGGAGGTCCTTTGTGCTCCTGATGAGGTCCTTTGATGGTAGGGAGATGCTTGTTTTGGTGCACTTCATTTTGAACTGTCATGCTCAGGAAGGTCTTAAGACTTTTGCGTCAATTGTATAGAAATGTTTTACAGGGCACCCGTGTATTCCTAAATTCTAAAAGTTTTTATATTTTTTAGCATTAGTTGTAGTTACTGAATTTGGTTTCTGAACATAAAGTAGCTGTAAAATGTGGTGGCTTCATTTTGGTAGAGTGGATACCCTTTGAATGGTTTACTTCATATCTTTTAAGCATAAAACAAACATACCCATAATTCTTAATGAATGCAATTAAATATGGGAAAATAATCTGTTCAAAATGACCTACTTATTGTAATGAAATTTTTCTTAGAAATTATATAGTCATCGTTTTAGAAACTATGTATTTATTTTCTGATTTCAAAATGCTACACTTCTCCTGCACTTACATTCTTATGACGATCCTTGCATTCTATAATTGTAGTTGATGGAGTTTTCATATTCAGCTTATTATTTAGTACTGTATTTTAAAGAAACAAAAGGTACAAAGCAAAATCCATCACAGCTGATAAGTCTTTACGGCATTCTCAGAAAAAATATACTTCTCTCTTTTTGCTTGTTATAGGTAACTTAAAAATAAAAGGAAAACACTGACTACTGTTTATCTCTGAACTTAATTTAGTGTGATCATTTGCTTATTTTTTTCCACTGTTTTTTTAAAATGTCAATTCAAACTAACAGACTAAGTTCCCAAAGGTATGGATGACACTGATTTATTTTATTGCTGTTGATCAGAACGAGACAGCTAGTAGGAATTTAGGGTACATTGCATAACATCTGTAAAAGAATAAAATGCAAATCACTCAATAAAGGAGAAAATCCAGTAGGAAATCAAATAAATACTTCTTCCACATCCTGAAAATAGTACTGCAGGCAGAATTAAATGACAAAGTATAGTCAGTGGGTGATACGCAGAATGGCCTTTCATCATTGATTTCTTGTTACAAATTTATATGGGTTACTAGTGTTCAAGATTTTTTTTTATTTCATGTTCAAAAAAGATTATATTTTAATAAAATACTTTCCTCTAAAAAGATGACATTTAATGGAAAATGAATCTTTCCACAAAGAGAAGTTATGCAGAGAAGAATTCAAAGCTTTATTCAAGGTTGCTAATTAAATAAAAAAAAATAGTTTTTCCTTTTTTTTTTGAAAACTGGATGTCTTTAATTTGGTATTTTTGTCACGGCTTGTACACGTGAAGGTTTGATTTGTTTTCCAGTTTCTTCCCTCTCCTCTCATTCTCCTTTTCTCCTCTTCCCGTCCTCTTTTCTAACCTTCTTCTCTTCTTTTGCCAAAACTAGTCAAGTTAGAAAACATTAGAAAGTGGGTAAAGCAAAACAGCCATCCTTCAGCTTTATAAAACAGACAGGCAAGTGGCAGTATAGTAGGCAAGTTTGTTGTTTGGTCAATATAATGAAAATAGAAAGCAATATGATCAAAAGTATCTGACATTGAAATACATGTAAAGAGCTGAGTCTTGTCTAATCCTGTAAATCTACAGAGATAGAAAGAACTAAGATTTAATTTGTGTTAAACCTTGCATCCCTCATGAGCTTTAAGAACATAAATGGAATAACTAATATACTCCAAAATAAAATTCAGATAGTAGTGACAATCACTTTGCACTTCAATAAATCAAAACCAGTGTCAATCTTATTGTTGGCTCTATTTGTATTAAACCTAGATCTGCATAGATCTAGTCAATACTATTTTTCTAACTGGAACTATATACTATATTAAGCATTGCTTTTTAAAAAAAAATAGTTCTGAAATACTGAAAAGGTATTTTTGTAGGAAAAGATATAGACTGTTTCTGTATTTTTCCTTGGTTTCATGCAAGTGTCAACACAAACAGAAATAAAATCATGTTGGATTTTCAGTTGTTCTTGTTATTTTTGCAACTGAAATCCCTGTAATAACCATACCAGCCACATTTGATTTCCTAAACAGGATTGTGATTCTAGATGGATGTTAAGGAGTGGATAAACTCCTTGAAAACAAACTGTTTTCTTTCATATATTCTAATGACAAAAACAGGAAAGAAAAGATCTGCTTTCTCAGCACAACTGACTCAAATTCTTTTTGGCATTTTCTGTGATGTCAATGGGTCTTTAAAAACTTGTTAATACCTGTTATGTATTATAAAACAACTGCTGATCGCTAAAGGAGCAAAATGACGCATGCACCTTTGAATATGTTAGTTGATTAAGTTTATATTGTCTGCTTTAGCTCATTAAGCCCCAAGGACCAGATCTTAGGTTGGATGATGTCCTATTCACTAACTACTTTTTATTAAAAAGTACAAGATTGTTTGAGAAGTGAGGCAATTCTCACTGAGGATGGCAGAGTCTGGCCTGCAGGAAATTTATTTTAGCTCTAGCTCGATTGTATTTAAATTTTAATCCTGCAAATTCAAGCCTTATTTTGTAAGAGTAATTTAATCTGTGAAGAAGAAGGACTAGTGTTACATTAATGTGAAGAAGTTTTTCTTTTTAAAATATGGAATATATAAAATGCTTTTATCTCCAAGTCATGAAAAAATCCTGTGATATTTGGTTGTTTGTTTTCTTGTGTTTTTTTAGCATAGAACAGTGTCTTAAAGACCTGCAATCAGAAGTAAATGAAATATGTACCGATGAAATGCTGCAAAGCACAACCGACTGCCTTCAGTGGCTAAGCAACTGCAATTTTAGTTCTCTCAGACCTTCTTCCACGCACCACGGAGAGCTGGTGGAATTCCTTAGGACCCTGGTAAAAATTGCTTACTACAGACTTTAATGTTTGGGAAAGTTGGTTATATGATGGTGGGGTTTGGGTTTCTTGAGGTTAATTAGTTATTTCAGTCCTCACTGTGGTGAGGACAGTTCAGAAATTTTATTCTAAGGCTTAGTACTGTTTTTATGTCTGCAGCAAGGGGTTATGTTTCCTTTTTATCATGGCTTAAATAGACAAACTTGGGACAAAATCTTTTCACAATGCTACCACATGTTCAGCATTGCTAGGAGTGTTTTATAAACACATGTTGGTAAAAAACACCTGAAGTTACTGTCTACACTGCTTGTTCTTCACTTGTATCAATATGAATTTAACTTATCTAATACAGATTATTGTCCTTTATGCGTTATTTAAGCGTTAACTTCCTACCTAGTTTTTCTGATTAGAAATGTGGGAGCTACATACATTGTCCTAGCAAGTTGCACAACTAGACATAACCAGAAATCAAATTTCACTTCAGTGAGAGATTCCATCATTTTAGAAGGCATTTTTATCCAGAATTTTTATTAGAAGCTAACCTTAGAATATATGTGTGGAAATCAAAGTCTGGAAAATTGAATTGGCTAGGTAAGTGAAGGATGATACCTCAGTAAATGACAGCCTGCAAGTTGATATATAAACTGTGTGTGTGTGTTTATCTGATGTACATGTGTATGACTGTCAAAACAAATAAACAGCACCCAGTGGATTGTTCTTTGTCACTTCCATGTCATGGTTCAGTTGTAGGACATGAACACTTTTAGGTTAAGATTGGCTGTATTGGCAGAGCCAAACTGCTGTGCAGAAATGGAGTGTTTTCTCCTTCGGGACTATCTCCTGGGTAGAGCTCAAGCTTCAGCAAATCGCCTGTCAGTATTTTAACTCTTAAAAGTGGCTGTTGACCTTTCAGTCTCCCTTGAATCCACTGGATATTAAGCTGTGTCAAATGAGGAAGTCATCTCTAGAAACACCAGGTCTTTAATGTTCATGTCGTGGAGAACTGATTTTGTCCCCTCCTAACACAGGTCATCAGTATGAAAGTTGCTGGTAATAATCAGCCTACTCAAGGGCGTCAGAGACTGCTACATGTCATACTTGATCTAGACAAAATGAGAGAATGCCAGAAAATGCTGATTTACAAAGTCTTGTTATTCCTCTTAGTCCAGTTAGATCCTTACTTAACGCCCCTCAGAAGAGGGCATGGCAATGATGACTGACTTGTGGCCATTCCCTGATTTCTTCCTTCTCCAAGGTCTATTCAAGCCATATACCTGAACACCAGGTGGCGGCATTTGTTTGGGAAACACCAAAAATGTCCCCAACTCTGGAATACTTCGGGTATATTTTATACAAAATATGCTTTCTAGCTCTTCGGCTTCCCAGGAGCTTACCGACTGCATGACAGTCTGGCTGTGGGCCTTTGAGTCCAGTTAAGCCTTGCGAACGGCTCTGTGGCAGGCTGCTAAACAGACAGCAAAGTGTGAGAAGCCTTAAAGTCTCAGTTCTGCACAGCTTATCAGGAAAACATCTGTGGAGCTCAGGAACTTGGACATCACTGTTTCCAGGCGCATGGCTTCTTAGATAATCCAGCCTGTTGTTTAGATGAGACCACAGATGAAAAGTGTGTACGTATTAGCATAGGCAATCCATCTGTAAGAAGTTATACTTGCAGCAGATAATCTTTAGCTCCATAAACAGGTCTGGAGTAAACTATTTTCAATAATATTCAGCATTAATGAGATTATTATGATCTGACCTTTCTTAAATGTGTATCTCCATCCATTGAACTAATTACTCGCTTGACTTAATTTCTCACTTGCAAGCCTTTAATTAAGTATCATATAATACATCTTCAATAATAGTAACCTTCCTTCTACTTCAGGACAATACTTATATTCATTGTTATCCCTTATTATGTGTGTTTATTTTGTTAGGGATTTTGTTTATCTTTTAAGCTGCTGGAACCATTACAAAAATTGTGCAAAGTTCTGTATATGCTTTGGCTGAGGTGCTGTATTTAGAGGTATTGTTAGTGTGGTATTCTCATGTTTTTGTGAACTCTCATGGAAATGCTGAGAGGTTCTTCATGAAGCCTGAAAATGTTAATTATGTGAAATTTCATTATTGTGTATACTGTTTTGTGAGTCTAAACATTTAAAAGCTGAATATGTACATGAATGCATCTTCATTAAATTCTGTTCCTGCTAAACTAATGACAAAATCTTTTTTTAACAAAATCTTCTTACTGGATTTGTTTATTGATATGGTAGGTGGCAGGCTATAGCAGCTAGTAGACCAGTGGATAGGCCGCAAATGTTTTCCTGTAGATTATTGTCACTAACATCCTGTTGACATGCGGAAAATCCCCCCCCAACCTGCCAGCCTGCACAGTCGGTATGGTGATTCAGCGCGGGGCAGCACGGGGGGCCGTCCCACCAAAGCCGTGCGCACCTCCACGCGGCAGCTTGCCCCGTTCATATGCAGCAAAGTGTTACCTATACATGAAGTTGCCCAATGCCCCTATCCATAGGCAGAACCTGTCCCCGCTTCGTATTAACATTAGTTTCCAGAGGTCATTTCCATAAGTCCCTCCCGACTGCGCGTGCTCAGTGATTTGAGTCAGTGGTCTTCAGGGGTCGTTTGCTTCATCCACTCCTCTTCTTCACCTTGTCCTTTTGGTGACCTCCAGCTTCCACCCCCCTTATTCCCCTGTCAGAACAGCACAGCCGGTACCAACCGGCTCCCCAGCCTTGGCTATCTTCATATCAACAAAGTGCCAGACACTTTGTTCTCCTACTTGCCTTCCAAGGCCTGTAACTAAGATGGGCCATTTCCTACTAGTCTCTTCTCTTCCACATTCCCTACAGTGTTAGTTTCTAATCTACAGTTTACTTCATATGATTAGTAAGTGAACCTAAAACACAATGCTAGCAATTTAAGATGGATCTACAGTTGGCTTCACAAAGGTCCTTTTGTTAACCCTTTTGTATCCCTTCACTGTGCTCATAAGAGAACTTTTCACACTTCTCTAAAACCTTTGGATACTAATTTGGATCTTTTTCTCTGAATAATTTTGGCATCATCTTCTGAAGTATTTCTACAGGTTAATTTTTAAATGAAAAAGCCTATATCAATATAGGCAGTGTTCAAAGAGACTTGATGACAGTGTGTTTTCAGAGCTTCAAAGATCTCTTCAGGGGCTCTTTTTCTGAGTAACACTAAGATGGCATCTGCAGGCTTCCTATTTTTAATGCTTTAGTTTAAGTTGCAAAGGGATTGAAACAATACTTAGATTCTTACTGCCTTTCATGAATGAAAATTTTTCTGCTTAACCGTACAAAAACAGCAGTAGGAATTTGCTTGGAAGACATTTTGGATTCATCACCCAAAGGCATCAGTTACATTCACTGTTTTGACAGCTTCTCTTGTTTTGTTCATTTTGGAATGTAGTATTTGAGCGTGATTCATAAAAAAAAAAATTCACCTTTAAACTCCAGGAGTCTACCTGCAGAGACTGAGCCGAGTGGTTAGTGATTCAACACAGTGGTTAGTGATTAGGGTTTCAGCTTACACACCAAGACACATTCTCTTTGGGGCCGCAAAACTTTATAGAATACTTCAGTAGATAATAAAAGAAAATCAAATCGGCCTTATGTATATGCGTATCAATATGGATGATTTAAGATTTTAACTAGTTGTATATACTTCTATCACATGCACATGCTTTTATAGGATGATATTTGACTGATAATTTCCTTTGTTATTCTGTCTTCCACATGTGTTTCCTGCTTGTAAGTAAAAAAATTCATAGGAAGCATTCTAAAATAAAGATGTAAAATGAAAGAAAAATAGTTAGTCTATTATTTTTAAGACTTTCCTTTGTGGGAGGCAATCATGCTCTCTGTCTTTTGTCTGTCAGAATTAGCTACTGTGGTGCAAGTCTTTTATTTTTTAATTTTTGTCATGGAGCACTCCAGAGTAGAGGATAATAGGAAGGTTAAACTCTTGTTTTCTCCCATAAGAATGCAACAGGTTTGAGTCATCCAGAACAAAGAATAGGAGTTCTGATATTGAAAATTTTTGTGACTCATAAGCAGGAGGGGAGAGGGATGGGATGTGGATGGACAGGAAGCCCGCTGAAGTTTTTGTTCTAGATTTTGTCTTTTTTGTATTTTTATAAATTATCTATTGATAAAAGCTTGCTACAGCAGAAAAATTGAATATTTTCTATTTGGAAGTTACTATATTTACAGAATTCCATACTCAAATTTGATTTATTTTTCTCTTTCAAAATGGGAAAAGAAATTAATAATTTCCTCAAATACCATATGTTAAATAAATCAGTAGTTCTGAAGGTGCAAGGTTGGCACCTTTACCAGCCATGCTTTATAGGATGGAGTATAGCTGGGAGTCCCAGGCAAAGGACATAAGTGAAAAGAGCTACCATCACATGATTTGCCACAATGCTTTTCTCTGTTGGAGAGAAGCCATAGGAGGCAAGGGAGCAAATGAGAGGGCTTCTAGATGCTGATTCACCTAAAGCTTGCCTACTTGGTTCCTGAAACCTAGAAAATCAAGAGTGCCATCAATTTCACTCAATTTTCTTGAGATGGGAAAATCTGTGGTTATTTATAGTGGAGGATCGAGAGCAGGTCTTGACAAATAAAAAGTTGATGAGCCTAGGACTGTGCCCAAAGCCAACCTGCAGTAGGAAGAATGTTGAGGATGTTGGAAATGGGTTTATAATAGTCAAGTTTTATTACTCTGAGAGAGGAAGGAGATTTTGGTGTCCAGTGGCCATTGGACTTTGGGGTTGTCTTCTACTCATATTTTGGACAAGCCTTATTCATGCAAATGATTCGTATCATACATATTAAGAAAAGCTGCATAGCGGTGTTTAAATTTGTGTCATTCTGGGCCAAGTAGGAAGCATTGAGCTGTGACAAGAGGGTCTGCTATTTGCTGAATGGCTTCTGGAACTTGAAGCAGATCTAAGGTCAGAGATCCTGTCCCTGGACCAAGAGGGAGCTCTTCAGGCTCAGATGAAGTAGGGACAGCACATGCATCCAGGTGGTTTCACTTGCTTTGTTAACTGGCTTCCTTCTTACTCAACCCATATAACTGAGAGGTATTCAGAGGTTGCTATATTGTTAATGTACCAGTCTGCATCTTGGTTTGACAGGATACACAGCTTCTTATTCTTCTGCCCTGTGTGCTCTAAGCCTGTTCAATTCTTAACAAGTTTTCAATTTTAGTTCTTTAAGGGGTCCTGGGAAGATTATTTTATCCTTCCAATGGCCTTTTTGGTGGTGGCCTGCTGAGCCAGAACATAGAACTCAACAATGTTTCATTTTATAAATTCCCATCTTGGATTTGTAAGCAAAACCTGTCATTATCTGTGTAAATCTTGAGGAATTTTTCATACTATTTTCTTTCAAAGATGTGTGTGGACCACAACAAATAGGCTGTCAAGGCTTACCTAATGGAATTTCCAAAGCTTTCCTTTGAATTGTGGGTTAGATTTGACTGAGAAAAGGAAGTTGATGATGTAAGAAAGATGGGAAGAGGAATGTGAGTTATTGGAGCAGGTAGACAAGGAGATGGATTGGCGCATAAATCCATGGGAAAACAGGCTTTGTTATGTCTGTTGTTTATATAGCAATTTCTCTGAGTCTGTTATTTGCTGGTAACAGAATTAGCATTGGAAACAGTTGGTACTCTAGCATGAAGCTGTTCATTTTATGAACCAGAATTAACAAAAGATTTCTAAAATACTGTCTGATTTACCTTTGTTAGCAAAGCTTGCTGAAGAATGAGCAAAATCAAGAAGAAATGATACTTCACTTCCTTCTGGATCTCTCTAGTCAGTGTGGTGTCTCGTTTCCCTGTACTCCAAGTGGGATGTCTTTTGAGTTAACGTCTTCCCTTCATGCCATTGAGGATGATTCAACTATGGATGTGAAATCTCTGTGGGATGATGTGAGATTGCATCTTCGACGATTTTTAGTAAATAGACTGCAAAGTCAAGAAGAAACAAGTACTAATGCTTTACAACAACAAATGGAGTTTAAAACTCAGTGCATACAGCAACTTTTGTTTCTTTATCCTGAATCAGAAGTCTTAACGAAGTATCAGAATATGCAGAATAAACTGGTTAGCGATCTTCTACAGAACTGTGTTTTGTCTAGTTGTGGTGAAACAAATTTTGATAAGGTGGTTCATGGTTACCAAAGTTCCGTACCCACATTGTGCACAATGATAAAAGAGGATTTGTATATACTGAGTGGAACTATTGATCCTTCTTCATCGCTGAAGTTTATTAATGAAACTTACCTGGATACCATCACTGAAGAAATGACAGTTCTTCTTGGACGACTTTGTGAGCTGCAGTTCAAAGAAAATGCTCTACATACAGTTAAGGCAAACAAGATTTCAAAGAAGCATAGAGGAACAGTTCATGCTGTGGGTTAGTAGCCTTATTTTATGTTCATTGTAGTTAGATATTATTTTAATTATGCAACTTCTTTTTCAATATACTTGATTATTTCCTATGAAGAGAGAGGCCTGAGTTTATTAATTACATCTTTATGTTTTAACCATATAACTGCAGTTGAATTACAGACTGTATCAGAATTGTGATGAAAAAGATTTAAAGTGAGGAGACTATCTTATGCTTTTGTATACAGAAACGCCATTATAATTCACTGGATAACATTGTCATGTCATAGTCTTTTTTTTCAGTCTAACTTATTCCAGCTGCTGAAATATATAATAGAATAAGAACTATTTAATTCAGACTTAAAAAACTACAAACTCTTCAGTCTTCTACCCTCACTTTTTTTGAATTGTCAGAAGTTTAAAGGAGGTTATAGGATAGTGCACACAATAATGTGACTGTGAAATAGACACAGATTCCTACATCAGGCTGACCCAAAGGATTACTATGCAGATTGTGATTCTAAAAGAAAAAAAAATAATTTAATTTTTCTAGTCTTCTGGAAGTACAGTAAGTTCGAGTTGATGCTACCTGGTAATTTCTTCTTGTTCTAAGGATTTTAAGACGAGAGGAATCTTTTATTGATGTGATATTTTATGTACTTTCTTTTTACAGTTGGTGAGTCTGACATGCTAATTTCCAAAGGGAGGAATTGGAGCTTTAGAAAAAAATTGTGCAGAATGAAAACTTTCATAATATAATTGTATGATTGTATGTAATTGCTTTTTCAGTGCAGAATTTTGAGCACTCCTCTCTGCAAGAGCTGTTTGTTTAAAACATAGCCTTCCATAAAGGTGAAGTAGTTTGCAGGCAGAAAATATTAAAAGTTTAGAAGCATGTGCAAAATACAGAAACAGAAGGTAGATCTTTGGATTGTACAACATACAGAAAGGATAAGTGAGGTGATGATTTGCCAGGTCTACACAGAAGAAAATTATACTCTTGTGAGTTTTAAAATCAACATACATGTTAATGTAAGTCAACTAGAAGAAATACAGAAATAATTTTTAAACAGGAGGAATATGTGGAACATAAGAAAGATAAGGTAAGGGAACAGGCATGCAGACAAATAATGTGGAAGGATGAGAAGTTCAATGTAAAGCTGATATCTTAGTGGGATTGAGTGTTGGTGGGAAAGAAGTAATGTCAGAGTGGTGTTGACTTATGAAATAGATGTATCTTTGAGTTACATGGTGATGTGGGAGTCAGTGAAAGGATTCACTGACAAAAAGAAAATGGTGGGAGACTGAAGTTTGTAACTTAATTTTTCTTTCAATCTCAAAACTGCTCACAAAGATGGGGAAGCTCAGTTACCTCCATTTTACATGTCAGACATGGAGATTGAAGTGACCATAAGGGTGGCTCTCTAAAAATCCCACACGTTAACTGCTTCTGTATTACAAGAAGGAAGAGAACAATCCTTCAGTCTATTATGGTAGTAATTCCTCTGCCTACATTTTCTTTGCCATGAGATGTGTCTTTACATGGTTTTGTGCCAGCACATCTCTCAGGACAAATTTCCAGTGCACAATTCTGTTATATATTCAAAAGAACAGATGAAGATTAAAATATACAAAGTAAATCCTGGAGCCTGCTTACAACTTAAAAAAAAACACCACCACCTCTATATTTCTTAAGTCCCACAGAATATTTTTATTTTGCCTCAAAACGTATTAAAGGCCAGATTTGCAGGCACAGCAGTTGTCCCCTTAGCACCCATAAAATGTGTTTAGAAGTGGTGTTTGTTAGTATCATTTAACCCTCACAATTACTTTCTTCACAGTGGCTGTCATGCTCATGTCTTCATCTCTTCATTGCATAGTATTTCATTTTATTTTTCTTCAAGAGGTTGGTATGGGCGGCAAGCATTGATTTGCCTGCGGTCTCTCTTACTGATTTTCTGCAGAATCAGACTGTTCTGGATTGTCTGTGGCTGTAGAATGGAGACAGCCAAACAATAAAGTAGCAGTAGTGAATTCAGCAGGCTAGACCAAAATAGGGGGCTAGAGTTGTAAAGTTACACAGGATTTTTTTTTTTTTCATTTTGTGGACATGTCATAACCTAATATTTGGCATTATTAATCAACTCAAGCAAAATTTATACTTGTCTCATTACCAAAACAATTATTATTGAATAGTTAATTGCATGTAAGCTCATATGTAAAGAGTCTTCTCTGGAAAGAGATTTCTAAATGTTTGAATATACTACATTTGTACCACACTACGTCAGAAAAAGGCACTTTTCCTTTGGAATTAAAGAATTTACAAGGTAGTTCACACTGAAACAACTATCCTGGAAAAAATTCTACAGAATAGCTATTTGGGGACCTTTATAACGGTAGACAAGTTCTTAGTGTCGAGTGGCTTTTCCTGCTTGGAACTCTTATTAAATTGTGATGCCTTTGCTGCCCTCCTAGAATTGAGAGTGGAAGTCTGTATTTATACACAGGTTAAGTTAAAAGACAGCTTTAACTGGTTGCCTTGACAGTGATACCCAGTTTGCTGAGTATCAAAAAAAAGCTTGTTGGACTGTGGAGGGAAGGGGAGAAAGGGAAGGAGATTTTTTCCTAGCTGAAAGGCAGTCATACCAATGTGTTTCTTATTTTTTGATGCATGTTGCCTCTGCCCTCTGGGAACCACCAAACCAGCACATTTCACAACAGCAAAATAATTTAATCTAGGACATTCAATTGGGACTGTTTTCCCAGAGGTGAAAAAAGGGTTTGTGTTTACTTAGTCCACCCCCAGGGAAATGTGGCATTTGGTTTTGGGTTTGTGTTGGTTTGCTTTTTTTTTTTTTTTCCTATAAGAATTGCTGTAATTGATCCTACTATATAGGAGAGGAAAAAATAAGAGAAAATGAAAAAATCCTAATGCTAGAACCTCAGAAAACTTTATATAGATGACCTACTTCTGTCAGGAAAATATAGGTAGTCTATAATGAGTTTTAACAGAGTTATAAATCTTTTAAAATATTTCATATATAACAATCCATTTGTGAAGTAATGAATTAACATTTTTGCTTTCATACTGTATTAGAACAGTTATTTGTCAAGTACTTTAATGAGATTGTATCCGTTTATCAGGATTGAGGATGAGCATGGTTTGAGGGAGAAGTTGGAAAATGTATGTGAGAAGCAGCAAATTCTTCGGAACTTGGCATCTTTGTTTGCAAAGTCTAGTGGAGGCAGGTGGTTTTATGTTATAACTTGATCCCATTCCCAGTTCACTCAGTGACTCTTTATGACCTTTAATAGTGCAGGATTCAGCCACTGGTATTTGGGCAAGTTATTGTGATAGGTTGTTGTCTAGCATGGGTCATAATTTCTCTGTGTACCCTCAACACATCATCTATGTTTCCCATCTGCTAAAATAATATCCGATGAATGTTTCCCAACCCCCTCCCCCCAAATATTTTTTGATGGAGTTTTGTTAGATGTTGTTTCAGCCTGTCATATTAATCGTATGTCTTTCAAAAGTTTATATAATGTTACAGGATTTAAAAAGTTACTGAAAACTTAATGTATCCGTTAACATACTTAGCATGGAAAGAGTCATGCAGGCAGCTGGTTTTCAGCTTATCTCTTACAATTTTTTATTTCAATTTCCAATGTGGTATTTCTCAGAAATGTGCAGTAAGTCTATTAAATGTGGATTGTACTTCTACCTTTTGAACCTTTTTCGTGTTCCTTTGTTTGCAAAAATGTTAAGCTAATTTAATCGGGCATTAGTAACCTATCTTAATCTGTCATCTCTTTTAGATGAAGAAACAGCTACTCTTACAAGTGATAAGACATCAGCCGAAGAAAGTTAAAAACCATAAAATTATACACATTTTATGTATTAGTGGAAGGTTTTCTTTGGTTTTATTTATATATATTTTTATATAAGCAGAGTGTAAATACATGCGTAGACTAATTAGACAATTTTTTAATTTCCTATGGTTAAAACTAAATGGAGATTAGAGCTTTGAGGGGATATTTTTGTGACATATTCAAATTCATTGGCTTAATATTTTTGTTTAGTCATGAACTTGCCAGAGACCTGTTAATAGGCTCTCAAATCTAATGGCATTTGCCAATAAACCATATTTGTAGTATGTTTGTATAATTAATAACTCTAAAAATCTTAAAAGAAATTTGTTTTTAAAATCTGAGGCAATACACAGTATGTTCGTCAAAATCAGTAGTTGATTATTTTTAAAATATTATTGCAAAGTGGAGGTAACCTGAAGTGATGCAGATTTGACTAAGTACATTTTTAGGTACAAAGTAATTAAATCACCTTCACAGATGTATTTTAATATTTACATTTTACACTTTTACCCCACTATGCCATCCTCTTACATGTCCAGCAGGCTTCCTTTCTCTTTTCTTCTTGCAGAATACGACCAACTTCCATTCTATATTCCAATGCAAACTGTGATTTAAATTATGATATTTTGAATGTATTATCTTTAAATATGTAGGAGTTCCTAAGGAATATATTGTGTTCCTGGAACGCGATGTGAATATGGCACGTATCTAAATTTGAATAGAACGACTCAATATTGTTTAGAGGAGCTGCATTTCTGCAGTGGAGTTGAGAGCAAGAAGAGAAATGGGCTTTGGAGTAACTTGTTGAAATGAAGGCAACTTTGGGACATTAAATGAAAGTACTGGGTAGGGAAAAGCTATTTTGAGGTCACTTATCCTTACATATTCCCAGCAATTTGCTGTCCAGCTAACTTGAAATACAAGTTTTGGGTTTTGCACATTTGACTGAAATTTGATTTCTTCTCTACATCCATGTGCACATGGCTTTATTTCCCCTAGTTTATCATTTCCTCCCTTTGAAATAAAGAACCTTCGTTTCAGACTTGCTTTTATCCTTCCTTTTAATTTCAATTCAGTTGGTTTGTGATCTCTTGATCCAAGATTATTGCCTACAACCAATCTTCTATGTTCTTGGTCTTATCTATTAAAAATAGG